ATGTGGGGCACCAGCACCACTCCCCATGACCCCCCAGCCCCGCAGCAGGGTGCACAGGAGGGCATCCCCCTCAGGGATGAAACCAGCCTGACACCCGGTCGGGTGCATATGGGACGACGCAGCGTACGAGAAATAAACGGGCACCGCGAGGGATGCAGGCAGGTTGGAGGGGACAAACACCACGGCACGCTTCTTCATGTGCTTCCCCCGGGCAACTCCAGGCATTTGGGGTGCTCCGAGGGGACCCCATCGCCAATGGCAGCTGGAAAAGACGCCACAGAACACTGTTTTTTTGCCCCCAGGTAATGAGCAGAGCTGGTGCAAGAGAGAGACCTGCCTGTGCGACAAGGCGGTGGCTTCGTGCTTCGCGCGCGCTTTGGATTCCTACAATAAATCCTACCGCTTCTATTTCAAGCTGAAGTGCCGAGGAAATAAGCTCCAGTGCTGAGGAGGAGAAATCTGCACCCAAGTTTGCAGATTTTGACTGGCTTTCCCTGTTGCTCCGGCACAAAAAGCCTAATGGAGGGGCTGAACGGAGTCGGAGCCAACACGGCTCCCTGCAAGATGATGCTCAGGCTGAGGAAGGGCACGCACACACTACGGATGCACATCCCCCAGTTCTCAGAAAGACACATCAGCTTCCATTTCTTTGTCTCTTCCTCCCCTCTCTTTTCTCTCTCGATTTCATTTCCCAGCAAAGATAATTAAATAAAAGGTGTTCAAAAAGATTCTCCGTGGTGGTTTTGTGTCAGAGCCACTGAGATTGGGGCACTGCAACGGCGGCGTCTGCGCTGCCGGGTTTGGGGAGCACTTTTGCATCTCACACCTGAGCCACGCCGCCTGCCCAACACCCCGATATTTCCACGGACCCAACAGCAGCCTCAAAAAGCCAAAGGTCCGGCAGCGGCTGTAATTTGCAGGTCTGTTGCCAGGTCTCTCCCACTGCGGAACGATATTGCCGGTGCCGGATCCCCAGGTACGGAGGAGCGCTTTGCATCGAGAAACGGGGATAAATAAATGCCACGAAGTAAAACTCCCTGAGGTTTGTTAATAAAATTATTCCCCAGCTACGAGCCCTGATGGCAGTTGGGTTTTTTGGCTTCTCCCAACACCCCTTGTTGCTAGTGGAACTTGCTCCCGGAGCTAAAACGAAACAGTGTGCTAAGAGGCAGGCAGGATACGGCCAAACAGTGTTTCTACAGGAATAATGGAAGTGGGAAAATGTGGGAGATGATTGGAGACTCTCCCGTGACACTTAGATTAAAATGGTGGCCAAGATTAAGGCTAAAGAATAGTTCTCAGCAGAGGAGAGAAGATTTCAAAGCCCCGTCCATCCCAAGGCGGATGCTAATTTAGGAGGGCAGTTAAGCTGGTGACTAAATGGTTTCTCCGTAAGGGATGAGTTCTGCATAGGGGTTGCAGGGAGGAGGTGGAAAAATCATACTGAGAGAAATAAAGGGAAATTGCGTTCCCTCACCCGGAAACATCCATTTTGCTCCATTCTCCACTCATGGTGGGTGAGCACTTAATCATCCAGTATCTGCGTAACCCTGTGTTTCTGGGAACTGCACACTTCAAGATGCTTTGACTGTTGACCATGTACTTTTTCCAAAGAACCAATAACTTGCCCTGAATCACCTTTGCAGCGTGGCAGAGGGACAGTTCCCAAACCGTACGACCCCTCAAAAACCCCAAACCTGCTTCGTTCACGGATGCAAAAGCTGAATCAGGGCTATTATTTCCCCCCACGATATGAGCCCATGGTGCTGCAGAGGGCAGAGGAAAAGACCCTCGGGCATCTCCAGCCGAGGGCAGAGAGCGTTGCCTTCCTCCTTTGGCTGGAAGTGACGCTGCTTTGCCAGCTCACCCCACCCAGCACCAGCCCCGTACGAGAAATAAACGGGCACCGCGAGGGATGTGGGCAGGTTGGAGGGGACAAACACCATGGCATGCTTCTTCATGTGCTTCCCCCGGGCAGCTCCAGGCATTTGGGGTGCTCCGGGAGCAAACCTTATATAAAGAAAGTCCTGCTGGCTGCAGGGCCCTGCAAGCAAGAAGCAGCTTTCCAGAGGTAAGCGGGGATGGAGGAACGCTTTTCCTCTCTTTCCTACCTTAACCAAAAGCCAGGGTGCAAGCAGGGAGCGAGGTCCATGCCAGGAAAGCAGGAGCAAAGGAAAGGCTACCTGAGCTGCCAGCCTGGAGGCAGAGCGGCGAGGGCTGTTCTTTCCTCCAACTTTTCTTCCTTTCCCTTCATTTTGCTTTTTCCCACCCCTCCACCACCTGATTCCCATCACTTCCCGCCTTGTTCCGCCCACCCCCCAGCCCCGACGCAGCGGCACTTTGTGCCGAAGCAATGGCAACAGGCACATCCTCGCCCCCCTCATCTGCCCTGATCCCCAGAAGTGGGGGTCCATCTCTGCCTCCGGATGAGGGGGCAAGTGAAAAAGAAAGTGGTTGATGTAACAGGGAAATGGTTTGGTTTCCTCTCCCAGGGCTGTCAAAAAGATGAAATCTCTCCTCGCCTTCGCTGTGCTGTTTGCTTGGGGTGAGTGTCCTCGCTCGCACCAGTCCCTCAACTCTCCGTGCAGTTATATCCATGGAGATGAGGACCAGGCTGGTGATTTCTTAACCTTTCCCCATCACCACCTCTCCCCAACATTCAGCAACTCTCCTGCACCGACCTGGGAATCGGTTTCCTCTCCATTGCATCTACTCATTTTTAAGACATCACCAGCCTGGTACCAATTCTGGTACTAGCCCCCTGGTACCTCCTGGGGGGCTGGAGGGATGAGGATGCTGCTGGGAGCCGGGCATCAGTGTGAGCCCCACCGATTTTCCTCCGCAGGCTCGTGCCCAGCTCATGGGAGCCTCTGGGAGCTGCACCAGATGGTCA